TAAAGACTTATTAAAAAAAAAATAATATGTATATATATATATATATATATACTATTTTTTTCTTCAGTTCAGTTGACATTTACTTTATATTTTTCAAAATGGTTTTAGTTAACTATAATAATAGCCCAGCCACTAGAATATAGAAATAACTTTTACTGTACCTTCTGATCACACTGCAAAAAACGTATTCAAATATCTAAAGATTTCTAAATCAAGACGCATTTACTTGAGAAGCAAAATGACATTAGAAGTCTTGTTTTCTGAGAAACTGAACAAAATGAAGTGAGTTTATGATTAAAACAAGATCAAATATCCATCAAAAGGCTCAGAAAAATCAACTTAATTCAAAGGGAAAACAAGTTTTCATTCCCCACTGACAGATATTTGTTCTTGTTTTAAGCATAAATTAACTTGGATTTGTTCAGTTTCTCAGAAACAAGGCTTTATTTGTTCAGTTTGCATCTCAAGTAAATGTATGTTGATTTAAAGCTGTTTAGATATTTGCGTCGGAACACAAAACCAAAACCCTTAGGGGGGAGATATTCATATTTTTGCAGTGCATTCACCATCTAATGCCATGACTGTATGAATGTAAGACTTTCTGCTCTGTTTTAAGACCTTTATAAGGTCTTAATTTGTGGACGGGTGAATTAAGACCTTTTAAGACCTGCAGAAACAAAGTGACAACCTCACACCAGAGAACACACACAGGTACAGAGAAGATGCTTCTATCACACTGACACGTAAAGCATTTTTATTGTTAGCAGGATTTAGATCAGTGCTTCTCAGCAGATTCTTACTTTGGGTTTATGAAATACAAGACATTTTAAAGACTTTTTAAGACCAAGTAAAGACAATTTAAGGAACAAATATAAGGAAACATTTAAAAATACAACAGATCTCCATTTCTTTTAAATTTATTTTACAAATAAAAACAATAAATAATAAATTAAATAATTACGGTAGCTTAATGCTTGAATACCTCAGCTCCTAACCACTAGACTGTGTTCTTTTAGTATCATTGATATACTATTATAATTAACAGTTTGCATCTCAAGTAAATGTATGTTGATTTAAAGCTGTTTAGATATTTGCGTCGGAACACAAAACCAAAACCCTTAGGGGGGAGATATTCATATTTTTGCAGTGCATTCACCATCTAATGCCATGACTGTATGAATGTAAGACTTTCTGCTCTGTTTTAAGACCTTTATAAGGTCTTAATTTGTGGACGGGTGAATTAAGACCTTTTAAGACCTGCAGAAACAAAGTGACAACCTCACACCAGAGTCTGGTTTACTGTTTTCTCCGAGCAGGTGAGAAGCCGTTCAGATGCTGTTGGGACGGCTGCTTACGGCGGTTTGCCAGGTCTGATGAACTGTCTCGTCATCGCCGCACGCACACAGGAGAGAAGCGTTTCTCCTGTCCGGTTTGCCACAGCCGCTTTGTGCGCAGCGACCACCTGGCAAAACACGCACGCCGCCATATAACAGCCAGGAGATCGGCAGTGTGGCAGAAGGAGGTTTATCGTCTTCACAACATCAGTGCGGTCTGTCACAGCCTGCAGCCTCTGGCACCCAAAACTGAGAGCTGACAGAGAGTCCTTCACATCTCTAACGGTTTAATTGTTTATATACTGTATGTACACTACTGTTCCAAAGTTTGGAATCATTAGGACTTCTTAATGGTTTTGAAATTAGTCTCTTCTGCTCATCAAAGCTGCATTTGTTTAATCAAAAATACAGTAAAATTGTGAAATATTATTACAATTTAAAATAGCTGTTTTCTATGCGAAGATCTGTTAAAATATAATTTATTTCTGTGATCTAAGCTGAATTTTCAGCATCATTACTGCAGTCTTCAGTGTCACATGATCTTCAGAAATCAGTATAATATGCTGATTTGCTGCTCAACAAACATTTCTGATTATTATCAATGTTGAAAACAGTTGTGCTTCATATTTTTGTGGAAACTTTAGATTCTTTGAAAAACAGCATTTATTTGAAACGGAAATATTTTGGATTTTCAGGATCATGTGACACTGAAGACTGGAGTAATGATGCTGAAAATTCTGATTTGATCACAGGAATAAATTACATTTGAACAGATATTCACATAGGAAACAGTTATTTGAAATTGTAATAATATTTCACAATAGTACTTCAGAAATAATTCTAATATGCTGATTTGCTGTTCAAGAAACATTTCTTATTATCAGTGTTATCTTATTAAATGTTGATATTAACATTAATACATTAAAAAAATCAAAAGCTGTTTCAGGTTTGGACTTGCGCTAACATGAACAAACAATGAACATTTTATTAACTGTTATGTGTAACCTATTAACACTACCTAATAGGCCATTGTTATAAAGTATATTTTTTTGTTAGTATCTAAATGGGGTGCCATCAGATTGAACTGTTTATTTTTTGTTGCATATATAAATAAATAAGAGGCTTTTTTTAAATGAATTAGCTTACCAACATATTTTTGTATATGTGAAGCCTACAAGGTGTAAGGTCCACACACTTGGCCCAAGGAAGGTATCCAGTGGTGGATGAAGGTCACTTGCGTGTTCGGTCTTTTCAGCGCGCAGAGTTATTCAATTTAGGTTGAACTGAAATCTGACTCCATTTTATTATCTAATCTGACCCCATTTTAGTATTACCTCGAATTTAGGTTGAAAGGCAAATTGGTTGTTTGTCGGTCTCTAATTATTCTGACATTTGATTATTCTAGTTAACTCTTTACTTTGTATTTTCTCGTTCATTAGGAATCTCTGTTATTTAGGATGCCTCACGAGATCAAAGTATCTGAGTTTCCTGAGTTTCTTTTATCCTTACAAGGCATATTAATCTATAATCAAGAAATTTGTTCACTCGTGTTTAATAGTGAAGAGTAAATGCAACGTTGTACCAGACATTAAAAAGGCAAAGTGAATCCACAAGGCCATTAATACCATTTTATTGACACAAAAACTTTGTCAAGAAAAGGTAAATGCTGTAAACAGCAACCAGTCTATGGTTTATGCTCTGACACTGAACAAACATTTCATTCGTCTAATTCCGGTTCTATGTTGCACAGTTTATTGCTTTCACTTGCCTGGATCTTGCAGGTAAAGAGCAACATAAGAGCTTCCGCTCACTTCAACCAGCAGCACTTGCTCCAACCGTCTTCAACACATTCTCAGACATACTTGCACAACACCAGAGACGTCCTGGACAGAACACATGTGCAACGCTGAGATAATGCGCAGCATGACACTTGTTGACTACTGCTTAGAAAAGGCCCGAAACAAACTACACAAGTATGTGAAAGCAGACACTTCCCATTTTTGTGCAATACTGCATTATGAAATGCAACCGCACACGTCATCTTTCATTTAAATGCAAAAACTTGCTTGTCAATGCAATGCAAGCAACTGGACCAGATGTTTGCACTTGGTGTCTGCATTAGCATACTTGTGTTAAAGATGACATATCATGAAAATCTGACTTTTCCAGGTTTTAAGTGCTATAATCAGGTCCCTGGTGCATCTACCAACCAAGGAAACGTGAAAAAGATTAACCCAATCACTTTGTTAGGTAAGCCTTTTTCTGCAAGCTTCTGAGAAAACGAGCACGTCTGATTTCACTCCCCTAGTGACGTGGCAAAGGGATCTCATTATAATATTACCGCCCCTTAATCAAGCGACAACCACCCACGGCGCCGTCATTTTGATTTCGCAAG